TTAATACTCACTTAGTCCCCTGGACAGCATATTTTCCTCGTAGCACTTATCAACCCTATCAAGGTTATAATTCTCAAACCATGAAAACCAAATTCCCCTAAAATTGATCAGGAGCACTGTCAAAGTCTTATTTGACTCATGAGTGAGGGACTATGCAGGATGACAGAGCTGGTTAAAAAGGGAATACAAGCCCTGGCTGGTGTGGCTCAGTTGGTTGAGTGTCGTCCGGTGTACCAAAAGGTCGCTGGTTCAATTCCGGTCAGGGCACATAGCCAGGTACTGCAGGTTCGACCTGCAGTTGGGCTGCGTACCAAGGCAATCAATCAATGTTTCTCTCACATCGATGTTTCTCTCTCTGTCTCTCTCCCTCTCCCTTGCCCTCTCTCTAGTAAAAGGAAGGAAGAAAGAAAAATTAATAAAAAGCATTTTTAAAAAGAATACAGAAAACAAGGATTTTTATAGTAAGTGGGATTATGATGAGACGAAATGACCAGATTAGACACAAATTTCGTTAATGTCCCACAGGGCAAAATCACTGTACCCCTTGCATTATCTTCCCACTGGACAGAACAGACAGCCGTGCACAGTTTGAGTGTTTCATTATTGTAAAATGCCTGCACCTGCTCAATTGTGCACATAGGGACTCTCTAAGCATGCAGTCAGCTTTTTGCCTTAATTTTGGTTTTTGGAGCACTGTTCTTTGCATCACCTGACATGTGGTATGTATTTATTTATGTTTATTGCTTGCTGCCTTGTGTAGTATGTGGACTCCCGGAGGGCAGGGAAACGAGATGTCTTGCTCCCGGCTGCCTCCCCATGTCAATATCCAGCATGTGGAAAGTGCTCGATAAATATTTGCGGTATGACTGGGTGTGTCAGGCTGGAGAGGCACATGACGCCACTGCTTCCACCCTGGAGCTCACCACCTGGTGAGCGAGACTTGGAAACAATCACGCACAGAATCTTAAAGGGGCTGTAACACAGAGGGAAAAGCTTTCTGGAAGAAGGGACAAAGCAGACGGGCTGGGTGAGGGTGGTTTCAGGGTGGGCGTGGGTCAAGAGGCCGACGGCTAAGAGTGCGGTGTGTTCTGGGAGCAGGAGGGAATTCAGTATGGTGGTTGGGATGGCCTGGAACGTAGGCAGAGGCCAGATCTTGGGGGCCTTGAGGACCCTGTGCCAGGACGGTGGGTTTTATGCAATGACCTCTCATGGCAGATATCCTCAGAGACTTGACACTCATGACTGATATCCAGCCCCAAGAGCAAGTCCCTGAATTCACAAGGATGTCCTTCCATCAGACATGCTGAAGAACATGTATTTTTGAAGATCTTACACATCCGCTTTTGACAGTGGTTCTTAACCTTCTGGCCCTCTAAATACAGTTCCTCATGTTGTGACCCAACCATAAAATTATTTTTGTTGCTACTTCATAACTGTAATGTTGCTACTGTTATGAATCGTAATGTAAACATCTGATATGCAGGATGGTCGTAGGCGACCCCTGTGAAAGGGTTGTTCAACCACCAAAGGTTGAGAACCGCTGGCTTATGAAATCCTCCTAGCCAACACTGAGTGTAGACTTGGGGAGATGAGGCATTTTATGTAGCTGAGGAGCAGAGTGTGGGGTGGGGAAGAACCCAGCTCTTGGAGACTGGCCTCCCTGCAGCGTCTAGACTTGCAGTTTCTCCGCAAGTCAGTTTACATGCTGAAAGCATGTCCTTTGGGCTCTGTATTAGTTTCCTGGGGCTGCCGCAACAAATTACCACAAACTGGGTGGCTTAAAACAATAGAAATGTATTCTCTCAGTCCTGAAGGTCAGAAACCCCTGAAGGCTCTGGGGGATTCTTCCTGCCTCTTCCGGTGGCTCTAGCATTCCTTGGCTTGTGGCCACATCACTCCAACATGCATATGTTGTCCATTGCCTTCTTCTCTGTCTCAAATCTCCCTTTCTTTTTTCTTATAAGGATACCTGTCTTTGGATTTAGGGCCCACCCTAAACCTAGGATGACATAGAGTGTGGCTCTTCCACAAAATACTGGCTCCTCCACAAAATACCGGCTTCTGCGCATGGGCCACAACGTTTCAATCGCACTGTACATGCGCGCCCGCACGTGGTGTTTTGTGGAAGAGCCACACTCAAGGGGCCAAAGAGCCGCATGTGACTCGTGAGCCAAGGTTTGCCGACCTCGGACATAGACCATAACCTAATTACATCTGCAAAGACCCTTTTCCCAAACAAGCTCCCACTGTAGATTCTGGGGGTTAGTATGCGGACCTATATTTGGCGGGGGGTCGGGGGGGGGGGCGCGGCAAACACTATTCAAACCACTGCAGCTTCAGAAAGGTTTGGAAAACAGTTTGCCTTCTGTTTCTTCAGGAATTATTGAAATTGTCTTGAACTCCAAATAGTAGAAGACAAGGAACTCAGGTTTTACTGGGGATACCTCTTCCCAGATCAAGGTGTGAGCAGATTTGGTGGTGTCTGGTGGGAGCCTGCTTCTAGGTTCACAGACAGCAGTCTTCTCATTGTGTGTGTGTTTTTTAATACGCTTTATTTTATTTTTTAATATATTTTTATTGATTTCAGAGAGGAAGGGAGAGGGAGCGAGAGATAGAAACATCAATGATGAGAGAGAATCATTGATTGGCTGCCTCCTGCACTTTCCCTCTCCCTTCCTCTCTGAAATCAATAAAAACATATTGAGGAGAAAAAAACCCTATTAGGACCATATAGGCAATCTACTGAAAATGCCCCTGGGCATCTTACACGAATCAGCTAACACAACCTTCACGGTAACTGGAAGAGGAGTGGCACCATTCACAGATGAGAGAGCTGAGGGGCAGAGAGGCGAGCGAGGTCATGTGTCCAGTCATGTGGCTGCTGCTCCATGGCAGTCAGTATTGGAACCCAGGCCAGCCCAACCCGAGCTTACGCTCTTAACCAGGAAGGAGGAGTCACAGCCTTGCTCTTCACAGTGTGGTTGCCGCACCAGCAGCACCAGTGTTACCTGGGAGCTTGTTAAATGGCAGCATGGGGCCCCGCCCAGGATTGGAGAGACCCTGGGCGGTCTGCGTGCATCGCCATTTGCTGGTTTCACCATGTCTTTCCCCTGCAGGCTTGAACAACCAAGTCCCCTTCTTGAGCCACATATTTCTCTGAAAATGTGAGAACGTGTCAAAAAAGAATTGGGTCCAATGGCCTGGGTTAATTCCCCAAACATCTCCCTGGTTGGATGATTTTGAAACGTTGCCACTAAACAAGTACTTACAGAGGCTCAAGCGAAGCTGTACAGCACGGCGAGGAGGGCGCATTTGACTCCGAGAAGTGAACATCTGACCTGCTGTGAACTACAGTGGTCGAGATTAACTCCAGGCTCCACTTAGACTCTCAGTCTTAGAGGAAGCTTCAGGCCGAGCAGCTTAGACATAAAAGCATTTGCCCTAATGTGCCAGGTGAAAGGTGCGACAACGCTGTTGCCTGGTGCCAATTACACTTAAGGCTTGTCCCCAGGAGTGCTAGCAGTGTGGCCGCTAGTGCTGACACATGGCCGGCCAAGGCTGTGCAGTGGGGTTCTCTTTCAAGACTCATTACTAATGTCCCATCGTGTTCTGCGACTCGGCCCCCTCACACCACGTCTGAGTAGCAATCCTGGAAAACGGGAGTAGCTCAAAGGCTATGCTCCTTAAACACCGTGCATGCGAGCCCCTGGGGGTCCTATCAAAATGCAGGTTCACTTGGGTCTGGGCCGGGCTGCTGTTCTAACAAGCTCCCAGTCGGCGCCCGCCACCACTGCTGCTTGTGGGAATGTGGGAAGAGCATGGGCATCGGGATCAGCCGGGTGCGGGCTCTGAGCTTGACTTTGCCACTTGGTAGCTGTGTGATGTCGAGCAAGTTGCTTAACCTCTCTGAGCTTCAGATTTCTCATTATGGGGATCCCTTCTGCCTTTTAGGGTCTTTATAAGATTTAGGGCTAGTGTGTGTAGATTTTCTTCCCACTTCTGGAGAGGAGGGGTGAGATTCATTCTCCTGTATCGCCTTCACTGCAGGTTCTGCGGAGACCCATTTTTCTTTCCTCAAGTAGCTAATCTCCGATTGCAGGTCAGGGTTTCTCAACCTCAGCACTGTTACCATTTGGGGCTGGATCATTCTTAGTTGTGGGGGGAGCTGTCCTGTGCACTGCACGCGTTTAGCCGTGCCCTTGGTCAGCAGCACCCATCTCCTCGAGTTGTAACGACCAAAAATGTTTGCAAACATGGCCAAATGCCTGTGGAGCCTGCAACCGGGAAACACCGTCCTAGCAATAATTCACACCAGTGATTCCCTCAACATGTGTCCAATACCTAGTGTGGGCCAGGCCATATGCCAGGAATATATTGCTATTAAGACTAACTGGATACTTGACCTCATGGAGATATTTTTTCCTTTTGGAGCCTCAGTCTTCCCAACTGTTAAATGGGTATAGCCAGGCTGCTGACCAAGAGTTGCTATGAAGATGAAATAAGACTCGCAACTGCCTGAACCCTGGTGTGCAGATAAGCCAACGACTGCAGTGTGATAGGCTTGAGAAATGAGTCTGGGTGCTTGGGGAGAGGTGAGCCTGGGCAGGGACAGCTGCAGCTGGAGGGGTGGAGACAAGCCAGGAGGTCTGGGCAATGAGGGGCAGGCGGGAGGGGCCATGCTGGGCCCTGGAGGAAAATGGCAGGAGAAGTAAGCTGGGGAAAGGGTGCTGCAGGGAGAGCCAAGGGCAGTGGGAAGATGGGACCCAAATTGGAAAGGACAGAGACAGCGGGAGAGGGTTACAGAGTGACAGGGTGGGGTGGAAATGGGAGAGAGGCACAGACTAAGGGTAACCAGACAGACAATGCGTTTTGGTTATAAAGGGTTAAAACAGCAAACAAAGGCTCAAGCTCCACTTGCCAGGAGAGTGCAGTGCCTGCCTCCTCCTCCCAAAGGGAGGGACAGGGACGGGCGCAGCCATGAAGGAAATGAGGCTTCCGAGTCTCACTCTGCGTGGTGTTATTACAGTAACTGTGGCGACATATTAAACACATTTGTAAGCAGCAGAGGGGAGCGTAGACGACGACTGGCTCAGCCCTGGGTGCCCGCCCCCAAGGAAAGTGCGAGTGGAATCAAGTTGAGAACATTTGCCCAACTTGACCGAGCAGCTCTTGAAACATCCCGCATCGCATTACAAGTGGGCAGCCTGAACACACAGCTGAATGGACTTCCAGGGGGGCAGTGACGTTCTCTGGGAGGAGCAACCGACTCCAGAAAACTATCCTGCATCATATGAGGTGCATCGGCCACGTTTTAAAAACGCTAACACCTCACCCTGGCCGTGTGGCTCAGTTGGTTGGGCGTCATCCCGTGCACTGAAACCTTGCTGGTTTGATTCCTAGCCAGGGCACATGCCCAGGCTGCAGGCTCAATCCCCCATAAGGGGAGTGCAGGAGGCAGCCAACTGATGTTTTGCTCTCACACTGATGTGTCTCTCTCTCTCTCTCTAAAAAAAAAAAGCTACCGTCTCGAATCTCGAGCCCATCCCTCTGGGAGCCTCTGACTTTATTAGAGCCGATCAGGACAGTGGAGGAACTGTACTGGCAGACGCAACGGGTCACGTTCCTGGTTCCACAAAGATCTTCCACAGCTCCTGCAGCAAACAGAGAAAGGCGAGATTCCCAGATGCCCAGAGGAGGCCTCACAATTTCATAAGGGACATAATTAGCAAAGAACAAACAACACGTGAGCCAGGGCAGCAGGCAAATGACTGCAGGAGCGGGCCCTTCCCCACGTCTCTGTGCTCTGGCTGTTCTCTCTGCTTCACTGTGGAGAAGCGGATGGTAGGTCCCAGCAGGAGTCCAGGAGGCATCAGATGCCACACGGTCAATAGGAACCAGGAAAGGGCAGCAAGCTGCCACAATTTCCCACCTGGGGAGGTCTTTAGTGCCCTGTACCGTGGCTGCTGAATTTAGAAGCAGCTGTGGCTGCAGGTGGAGAAGGTACAACACGCCAGGTTCTTAGTGGGAGCTCCATGTCCTGTTTGCTGTCTACCGGGAGGCTGACAAGCAGCGCGCTAAGGGGCAGGGAGGCTGCCCAGAGGCAGTGGAGCAATAAGCAGAGGGGGAAATTGGACGGGGAAGACTGACAGGGTGCATCTGAAATATGCTGTTGCAGAAAAGCTCTACGAATAGCCTGGACTGCCAGAAAGATGAACACATGGGTCTTAGAGCAAATTAAGCCTGAAGCAGTGCTGGAGGCAGAAACGACACACTGAGCCACCCTCCTTCAGGCACATCACGAGGCAGGGCTCCTTGGAAAAGACAGGAATGCTGGGAAAAACAGAAGGCGGCAGGAAAAGAGAAAGGCCGAACACGAGAGGGACCGACTCCATGAAAGATGCCACAGGCCTGAGCAGGGCTGCAAAGGACAGGACACTGGACAGCACTCAGCCACAGGGTCACCAGGACTCGGGGCCAAGTCAACAGCCGTAACACACACACACCTCCTCGCAGACGGCAACCGCACAGATGCAGGGCTGCGCTTGCTTTGGGGAAGGACAGGAGTGTGAGGGAGAGGGCTTCCTCCTTAGAACCAGGCTCAGGTCTCCAGACCCAGCGAGAGGGAGGCCACAGGCCGAAGGTAACGAACAAAAGACGTGAATTCTGAGCTTTGGACGTCTGTGAATCCTGCTCCTGGTAACGTTACAGGATTTTCAAGGGTAATTTTAACTTTTCAAGTTTTCTCCAAGTGCTGGGCTTAGAAACAGTAACCGGAGGTCAGTGGCTGTAGGCTGAAGCCCCAGCTCCGCTGCTCCCTGGCTGGGTGACTCACCGCGGCATTAACTGGGACAGGGATGATGTCATCGGGATGCTTACTAAGAGGCCTGATATGGTGGGACCCCATTGCGGGGTCAGAAGGCCATCGGTCACCAGACAAGCCTGCCTGGTCCGCAAGGCCAGCACATTTCCCCCGTGGAGATGCCACCATCAGCACCGGAAGTCCCTGCACCAAGATCTTCAACCCAACCAAGTGGCTCCTGCAACTGAGCCCCAACGGCCCACAGGGAAACACTGCGCTGTGAGGTGACGGTTCACCTGCAGGCCCACCCCTGGACACGGTGACTTAGGAGCAGGGGAGACCCCATCACGGGCTTCACTAGAGAGAGCACGTTGTCCCACCAGAGCACCCACCAGCTGCCGGATGCGCTCATACTCCAGGTGCTGCGGGAAGGCGGCTTCCACCGGCTCCACCGCGAAGCGCAGCTGGCTGTCCTGGAGTTGCTCCAGCTGCCGCAGGCAGGCGCGGAAGTGGTCGTAGGCCTCGCAGGTGACGTCCAGGTGACTCAGCGTGAAGTTCAGCCTGCAAACAAGCAGACCACACACTGCTGTCCCCACTGCGGGCCTTCCTGCTGGTGGGTTTTCCGAGTGCCCACTGTGTGCTGAGCATCTGGGCGCGCTGCCTGCCTGGTCTGCAGGGCGGCCGGGGAGGTGGACATGGCTACCACCTCCATTTTACAGCTGTGGAGACAGCCTCAGAGCTGAACGCACATGCTCAAGTGACCCCATGGCCCAAGGAGCTACAAATTGGCGCACGAGGTGGACACAGACTAACATCTGAGGCCAGCACAGATCTGGGCATGGCTTGTCCATGACAGGGCAGTGGCACAGGGAGGGGCAGAGGCCTGTGAGAACCTGTGGGTGGAGGAACGCTGCTGGGAAGTGGGTGGGGTGGGGAGCTATGGGAGAGAGGGCAACTGGGGGGGAGGGGAGATGACCAGAACTGAGTCTTCACCGAGCATCTCCAGCTGGGCCGCTCACACCTCTCTACACCCTAGTCTGCAACATGATTCAACTTGAAATTCAAACTCTGTCTCTTTCCAAAATTTTTTTCTAAGAAAATGTCAAAGATATAAAAGAGCGAGAACAGGTAATGGACTGCCCAGCTTCAGCCTCTGTCACCTCTGCCTTCCTTCCACCACTCGATTAAAAAGAAAATGTCAGACATCACAGAATTTCTTCCATGCATGTGTCTGTGTGTATCTTGAAAACATAAAGGCTCTTTTCACCTAAAACAAATTCAATGATAATTCTTTTATTTTTAAAATAAATGCTTTTATTGATTTTAGAGAGAGAGGAAGGGAGAGAGCAACATTGATGAGAGAGAATCATTGATTGGCTGCCTCCTGCATGCCCCCTACTAGGGATCAAGCCTGCAACCCAGGCATGTGCCCTGAGCCAGAATCGAACCAGTGACCAACCTCTTGGTTCATGGGTTGAGGCTCAACCACTGAACCACACCGGCTGGGCAAATTCAATGGTAATTATTTATCACCAAGTAGCCAGTCAGTATTCAATTTTTCCTGACTGTCTCGATCTTTCCCTTTACGGCCTACAATCAGCATACAGGTGGGGGTCACTGGTCATGTGCTGCCCTTGGTCATGTGGGCCTTGAAGAAGGTCCTAGATACTATCGGTGTAAACAGCGAACTTGCCGTGTGGATGGCTTTGTTCAGAGCTGTGATTGCTTCCACAGGCTGAGTTTCTAGGTGCTGAATTGCTGGGTGAGTGATTACGTTCGGTGTGGTGGCTTTTGATACACGTTCTGAGCTGCCTTCAGGAAAGCTGTGGCCTATGGTAGGGCTCTGAGAGAGCTGTGCAGAGTGTCTAGCCCTGGCCTGTCACGAGATGGATGCTGCGTCAGCAGGAGTCTGAGCAGTTCAGGCCATTCCAATGGAACGTCCTGGAGGGCTGCGTCTGCATCAGGGAGAGGACAGAGGCCTGGGGACCAAGGAGACAGAGCGGCCCCCCGGAGGGAACGCGCAGAAAGAGCAAAGGCCCTCGACAGTGCGGTGGCCACGCGCCTCGGCTCTGATGCACAACCTACGTTCAAGCCCTTGACCACACACTGACCAGCTGTGGCCAGGAAGGTTCCCTGATGGCGCTCGGACTTCCTCTCCTCACCTGAGAAATGGGACGGCAGTGCCTACACACAGGTGGGCTGGTGTGTGGATTACATGGAGTGTGCGGGCCATACAGTAGATGCTGACTAAATGAGCGACATAAGGACACTGACTGTGACGTGTTTAGAAGGCGAGCCTGGCTCTCAGATGCCAGCACCCCCCTCTCACCCCCTCGCCCCCCCGCCCTCCCGTCCCCTCTGGCCCGGAGCTCACCTCTTCTCCACAGAGAGAATGGCTGTGCAGGCGTTTTTCAATCTGTGAGCGAGTCGGAAGAGTGTTTTAAACAGAGCATCAGTTAGGTCATCGTCGTAGAACACTGCAGGGAAGAAAACAGGAATTAGGGGAAAACGTGCAAATACCAGAGAAATCTGTTCCTCAGAGGACCCCACACCACCACGGACGGGGCCCTGATGAACCGGAGCATCAGTTCCCAGAATTCACACTGCACGGAGATGTGGGGATGTCCCGGGAAGGTGCTCCTAGACGCAGAGGACGCCGAGCGGCGGGATGCTGCGTGTGGCCCGTGACAATGACACTGGCTGTGAGGGGCCGGCGCTCACCTTCGGCCGCGAGCAGAATGGTGGTGTGGCCGTACAGGTCGGAGATGTCCTCTTCCGACCAGCTGAAGGGGACTTCAGGGTCTGGGAGAAAAGAAGAAAGAGTGTTTTGTGCTCTCTCCTTTCTCTGTGGCCACCAACTCTCACTGATAGGCAGACTGAGGCTTCAGAAGAAATGGGGTTGGGGCCGTTCGGTGCAGCAGGCACTGCCAGGCAGGCCCGAGTCCCAGCGCCCCCGCTTCAGGGACACGGCTGCCTACGCGGGACCACAGTGAGAGGTGCCCTTCCGAGATGGGGCAGCGCAGTGAGTGGGGACGGGTGGACTTGGCCTCACCCTCTGCCTTGCCCGCAGCCTGTGCAAACAGGACCTGTCCCGTGTCCCAGGCTCCCAACCGTGTTCACTGTGCAACCCCGGGAAAGGGCTTCACCTCTGGTTTCAGGGTCCGCACTAGACAGCTCCCTCAGAGGATGGCTGGGGAGGGGACAGGACCTAAGGTATGCTATGTGCTTGGTCGGTGACAGGTACTCCATAAGCAATGATTTTCCCTGCCTGACGTCTTACAGGGAAAAGAAGTTTTCATACAAAGAAAGAGCAAGCCTACAGGTCTGAAAGTTTGTAGAAGGAATTCAGAAAACCCTCACCCAGAGCTCCGAAGCCATGTGGCCGACTCCCTGCTGTGGGAGCCCTGGTTCAAACCGGTTCCCCTGGGTGGGCACTCACCCCGAGCACTGGCCTCCACTCATTACTCAAGGGTGCACACCTGCTGCACAGTGACACTGTGGAGTCTGAATACCATGAAGGGAAGGTGCCTGGCATACAGCAGGTGCCATGAATAACCCGTCACTTTCAGCCACTGAAGGGAACTTGCTGTGAGCTGTGGACCGTGACAGCAGCCTGGATCTGCTGTCAGTCAAGGCCACAGGACCATCGGCCTTGAGATATTACCAGGAACCACTGAATCAAATGGGACACGAGAGGAAGACACGCACCAGTGCAGAGGTCGTCTTTCAGCCAGTCCAGTTCTCTGACCTTAACTCCACCACCTGTAAAACAAACAGAACTTCCCAAGCTCTGTAAACAATTAGGAAAAAGGAGAAACATTTACACTGTACACCAAAACCCATCCATCCATCTCACCCTCCTTTATTCTCCCTCTCTCCTTCCTATCCATCCATCTTCCCACTCATCCATATATATCCTGTTATCCATCCATCCATCCATCCATCCATCCAGCATTTTTTGAGTGCTGAGTATTAGGTCCCATGCCAGGCACAGGGAATACAAAGATTTATGAGACACATGCCTGTCCCTGGGGACCCACAGCTGAGGAGAGACTGGCAAGTTCGCAGACACAGACAAGGCAGAAGGTGGCCAGGAGGAAAGAGGGGCTCTCGTGTCGGCAGGGTGTTGGGGAGGCCCAGAGAAGGCAACCATGCCTGCTTCGTGCTTCATCCTGTTGATTGGTTACCGTACACTGGGCACTAAACAAACACCACAGCAGTGACAGGGCCCTGCCCTCATGGGGCATGTGGTCTAACGGGATGGCAGACACCAATCAACAAATGTCAAATGCAATGGTCCAAGGTGTGATGAGTGTCTGTGACGGGGCTGTGACCTCATCTGGAGCTCGGAGCATAATTAGGAACTGATGGAGGAAGAGGGAGAGAAGGCTGTTCCAGGCAGAGGGAGCAGCAAGTGCGCAGGCCTCGAGGGGAGGGGAACCTCCAACAAGGCCAGGAAGACTCGGCTGGAGGAACCGCTGTGTGGGAGGGACTATAGACAGGTAGGGCCAGTCTGTACTCGGAGAGCATCGGGAAACCTATAAAAGGTTGGCAGCTGGAATGACCGGATCTGAATCTGGAAAAGCGCCCCAGGCTGCTCAGAGGACGAAGGTCCGCACAGGCAGTCCAATGAGGAGTTGGCTGCTGGCATGTACCACGCAAGCTTATTCCTGCAGGTGGTGCAGGCTGGCAGGGGGGACATTCTGACGGACGGAGGGGCATCTGAAATGGGTCCTCGGCTCACTGGATGCAGGGCTGGAGCGGGACCATCAGGAGAAGAGGCAGGGGAGGCAGGCAGGGGTGGACCAGGAGGTTTGGGAGCCAGAGAAAGAGCTCGAACTTTACCCCTTGAAGAGGTCAGGCTTCATCTAGAAAGGTCACTCTGGATGCTACATGGAGGACAGCTTGGCCGGGTCAGACAAGGACCTGGGTGATGAGGGAGGGGCCACTGTGACGTGCAGGAAGGAGAGGGCTGACGTTGGCTGTGGCGTGGGAAGGAGATGATGCAGGGACAGTCATCTAGGATCTGAAACTACGTGAAACTAATAAGGCTCTGGTCCCTGCGTTCACTGGGGTGTAGAGGGAAGCAGGCGGAACCCCGTCTCCCAGGTCACGGTCCTGGGTGTTTGTCCCACTTGCCAAACAAAGACACCTCCCTCCCAGGCTGGGCCTCACCTCCAGGGGCAGTCAGGTGGCTGTTGAGGGCAATGTTTCGCTGGCACGTGGCCAAGAGGTCTGCACCGACATCTGGAACGACAGAAGGCCATGCCATCAAGCGCCGGCCACTAAGACGCTTCATTTCCGTGTTGTTGCCCGGAGAGCTGATATCAACAGCATGACTACAGAAACGTGCAACACTGAGACTAAACGTCTCCTGTGTGTTTTACTGCCAAGATTAACTATGTACCTTAAGGCTCTTTTTAATGAGCTTTCCTTTAAATAAAAGATGGCCGTCCTGGTGGAGACAGACTCTGTGCACGCCAGAGGGAAGGGTGAGCTCCCCTTCTCTAGTTTCTGAAACCCGCACGGCACATCCCATAGCCACGCTGAGTGTTTCTAACCACCCACAAGCCGGGATCACGGCTCCCATCTCACAGATGGAGACTTGAGCAAGGTCATGCCACTAGTAAGAGCAAGGGCTGGGATTTGAACCTAGGCGTCTCTGACTCCAAGTCTAGGCTCACTCTTTGACACCCCAGAAAACTGACCAGAGTTAGAGGGGTGTTCGGATATGATCAATGGATACGCAGAGCAAATTCAAACAGGCTGGAGGCAGCTCTCCTGTGCACGATTCACTGCCACTGCCATGGCATCTTTCCCCAGCCGCCTGTTACTCTGACCAGGTGGGATTTCCTATCATTTCAGCAGGACTGAGTTGCAGTGCAGAGAATCTTTGCGGGGGAGGGAGGGGGGGTGAGGGAAGGAGGGGTGTAGTGCTGTGCCAAAAAATTACTTTCCAATTAGAACGTATGTGTGGAAGGTACAAAGTCTTGTTAAGGACACCTGCCAGGCCACTGTGGCTGTGACGTCCCATCCCGCCCACTGCAGACTCCCTGGGACCAGACTACCGTCTCTATCCCAGGACCGTGCAGAGTCCGGTAGAGGGAGAGCTCCCAGCTCTCCGAGGGCACATAGCTGTCCTTCTCCGGGCCACAGGGTGGAGAGGATATTGACAGTGTGTGCCTGAGAGCACAAAACTGGCTCAGAAGTTTTTGATCCTCTATGATAGTTTTTGTCCAACCAGATCTCGTGTGGGACTCTAACATATGAAAGATAAGAAAGGGGCAGCTCTGGCTGAGTGGCAGTGGGACCCTGGAGTCCTGGGGTTGTTCCCCGACCCCTTACCGCATATGACCTTGCCAGCCCTTCGACCTTAGCCTCAGTCTACCCATTTGGACAAAGGGATGGCAACACGCTCCCTGGCGATTGCCCAGGGGCACTCACTGTGAGGTTAGGAGCAGGTCCTGATGTACATGGAAGGTTTTATTAACTGTAATGTGCCATCCCAGGGCACGCTCTCTTCTTCATGGTGGTAAATCCCTCTCAAGGATAAGACACCTTGGTCACGTCCTGCTATGAGGCACTAGGCAGAGAGCACAGCTCTGGGGTGTTGCATTAGGTGTGACTCTGGGAAGTGCTCATGGCAATCCACATGAAAGTGTCAAGGAGCATCACACAGGGTGGCTGACGGCACATTTCTGACTCGGTTGACTTAGGATACCCGAAAAGCGTGCCCCAATCACAGGCCATCCCTGCCTTCCTCTTCCCTGTCTCAGGAGCAAGGGATGCAGCCTATGAAAATGGGACCTAGGAACCAATGAAAGGCAAACCTCAGCAGGCACCATTTTCAAGTGGACATTAAAGGTTCAGAACATAATGACAGCACTTGCCCGATGAGCTAACACTGTCTTATAAGCTGTGAACGCTCTACAAGAGCAGGTTGGGCACGTCAGGAATGTAGCTGACAGTCGCTCATGTCAATTTGCTGGTTTTCAGCAACTAGGTTATGCAAGATGTTATTGTTGAAGGGTGCATGGAACTTTCTGTAATATTTTAGCAACTTCTGAGTGAGTCCAATGTTATTAAAAACTAAAAAAGAAAGCAGTTGGCAACATGTATCAAAAGCCTAAGAAAGGGCACACTTGTAGGAATCTAGTCTAACAGTGAACAAAGGTGCTCATTGCAGTGTAACTGACAGATGCAAAACAAACCAAAATATCATGGGAACAACCAAAATGCCCAGCAAAAGGAAAATGGTAAAAATAAAAAAGATGAAACATTACTTGGTCATTAAAATCTTATTTATAAGTAATTTTTAATGACATGGGAAAATACTCTTAAAAATGTTTTCAAGCCCTGACTGGTTTGGCTCAGTGGATAGAGCATCGGCCTACAGACTGAGAGGTCCCAGATTCGATTCCGGTCAAGGGCATGTACCTTGGTTGTGGGCACATCCCCAGTGGGAGGCGTGCAGGAGGTTTCTCTCTCATCGATGTTTCTAACTCTCTATCCCTCTACCTTCCTCTCTGTAAAAAAAAAATCAATAAAATATATATTTAAAAAAATTTTTTTCAAGCCTGGCTGACATGGCTCAGTGGTTGAGTGTCCACTTATGAACCAGAGGTTACGGTTCATTTCCCAGTCAGGGCACCTGCCCGGGTTGTGGGCTTGATGTATGATTCTCACTCATCATTGATGTTTCTATCTCTCTCCCTCTCCTTTCCTCTCTGAAATCAATAAAAATACATTAAAAAAAATTTTTTTTTGAATATTTTTAGAGGATACAGTACTGAATATATAGTTTGATTGCAGCTATTGTTTGGGAGTATGTACAATCCAAGCATCTGACATGCTTGATGTACACACAAAAGAAAATGGATTATAAAAGAAATATACAGCTAAAATATAGGTTCTAAAACATTTGCTCCCTGAGGACACCAACCTAATCTGTTGTATTCATTCCTGGATCTCCTGCATCTAGAACCACAGCTGGCACATAGTGGTGCTCGCTAAACTGCATACTGAATCTGGGGATTCTAAAATTATGAGTAATTTTAATTTGCTCTTCTCCACAAGGTCTCCACAGGAGTAACCAAGGTTTCTATAAGCGGGAAAAAATAACAAGCTGGTTTTTAAGCCTTATAAAAAGCACAGTCTTTGTGGTTTCCTGAGATGTTTGCTCCTTCACGGGGGTGTGATCAGGGGCACCAGCAGAGCCCCCGGCATCTTCTGAAGCAGAACTACAGCTGCCAAGGACTGGCTGTTGCTGGGTCATTCTGACATTATTGAGAAAACAAGGAAGGGTGGAAGAAACCACGGAACAGGATGGCAAAATCAGTAGCAGCTAACGTCCCATTTCCATTTCTCTCTCTCTCTCTTTTTTTTTAATCTTCACCTGAAGATATTTTTTCCATACATTTTTAGAGACAGTGGAAGGGAAGGAGAGAGACAAGGGAGAGAAACATTGATGTGTGAGAGAGACACATCGACTGGTTGCCTCCCGCATGCACCCTGACTGGGGCTGGTGACTGAGCCTGCAACCGAGGTACGTTTGACCAGAATTGAACCGGAGACCCTTTCGTCGGTGGGCTGATTCTCTAACCAATGAGCAAACTGGCTAGGGCATCACTCCCACTTTTTTACAGTCAGTACACGCTTTGTGAAGAGACGGCTTCCCCTCAGGCTGAGATGGTGGGTGTTACCTGTACAATACACGGTCTGCGCCGCGGTGGCTGCAATGATGCTGGTGAACCCCGTGCCCGCCCCGAGCTCCAGCACGGTGCATCCCTGGAAGAGGTCCCGTTGGAACAGGATATAGTCAGCCAGGAACAGGGCACCCCGCCACACCTGGAGGGAGATGGACAAGGAAGGACAGGTGACGTGAGGTTCCGGAGAGACCCTTCAGGGCCACGGGAAGTGGATAGGACCTACCCACCTGCTTGCCAACATCCTCCAGGGGCGTGGCCATGGTGTGTTCTGGACAGGACGGAAATCAAAAGAGAAAGGGCCGCTGTGAAAATGGGGATGGACACAACACAGAGGAGGAGCATGGCAAGCTGCACACACGGTGGGATGGGCATTGGGGTCGGGCCTCTAGGGAGCAGCAGGAACACAGGCTGTGCCACCAGCTGGGAGGGACATCGGAGCGTCACTCAGTCCAGGCACCAGGGCCCCCACTCAGAGAGCTGGGACCCTCTGCCCCACAGCCTGAGGACCAGGGTCATAGTCGGCCTTGGCTCAACCTAACCACACACACCCACACTCCACTTTTCATGTTAAATAACTGTTTACTACAATTGTCACCTTAATGTTGTTTTGATCAAGTGTACGCTTATAATAATCACAGCTCATTCCACGATATTTCCTTACACTTAGAGCCACATGAGAAGTTGACAAAATAAGCTTTGAGTTTTACATCCTTTTCTGGGTGAAGAGAAGGATGTAAGAAGTATTCGCAAGCACAAAATACGTTAGGGTAAAATCTGGTGGTGGCAGTTGGGGGAAGAAAATAGAAATATGAGACCAAGTAGAAAAAGGAACGATGGCAAACATGTTTGCTGTTAAATAAGAACTGGCTCTTATATTTTCAAACGAGATGGCGATGGCTATCAAATTTAAACACACAACACATGCACAGCAGGGTAGCTTTGCATGCTTACTGGACGTGCAAGAGTCAAACCCCAAGCTCAGGCCCGAGGGACTAGGGAGGGACTAAGGAGGGGAGGAGATAGCCAGGTTGGAAGGAGTGTGGGTGATGCTCCCCCCAGGAGGGCCTGCCCTAGGAGGTCCCTCAGGGATGCACACCTCCCTTGAGCCAGGCCTGGGGCTGGGACAGGGGATTTTATGTGACTCTCACAACGGCCCTGTGCGTAGTTATCACCAACCCGTTTCACAGATAAAGACACTGATGTTTCCATCTCTCTCTCCCTCTTCCTTCCTCTCTGAAATCAATAAAAATAAAAAAGAAAGGTGAACTTTTGGCACCGGGAGACAGGGAGAGGGGAGATGGGTGGGTGGGGAGCAGGCCACACACCAGCCCTTTCCTGTGAGGCTTGATCTTTTGCTTGCAGGATGGTAAGTTCCCAGAACACTAAACACATGCACACCAGAGGCCAAACACTTACGAAATAACCAAGTCTGCTCCTCTCTTCCCCTGACCACCCCCCCAATCCCCGCAGGGAGGCCAAGTGAGGATTGAGAGTGAAATGAGCCAATGAGCCAGTCGCCCAAACAAAAGTTTGCAATGTTTTGATCACATACGTGGGTAAGAACACAGGCTGTGGCATCAGACAGACCTGGGTATGAATCATGGCTCAGACAAGTTTAATGCCTCTGAGCCTCAGCTCCCTCCTCTGTGAAATGGGAATGTTCATCCTTGGAAAGGCTGTGAGGACCAGAGGTAATGCACAGGATACACAGAACAAGGTCCTGGCATGAGTTCCGTGTCTGGACTTGCTGGGACCAGACTTCCTGGTGCCAGCAGGCACTTAATAACGGACCGCTAACATGTGGGCAGGTGGCTGTCAGAGCCGCTAGTCTGTCTGTCTGTCTGCCCCCAACCAGGCCCAGGTTTATTTGGGTCCTCAAGCACCATCAGGGACCCTGGATCTCAATGAACAGACTCAAACCAGAGCTCCTCTCCCCAAAATGAGCAGCGCTGGGGGTGACAAGAGTCCTGGCTGTGCAGAGAGATCACATGGATTCATTGCCAAGCAGCATGGCCTTGGGCTTGTCACTCCCTCATCCGTACTCCCCTCAGAGGGGGCTGTGAAGACTACATGAGGTGATGTAGGTAAAATATCACAGCACGACAGGTGTCTAAGCAGCACTGGCTCGTTCCTGCCCCAGATCCACATAGATCCTGGCACTTCCGGGGATTTGAAATCCTGGCGTCACCAAAGCCCTCTGCTCCACCCCGTGCCTGAGGTGAAGCCTCTTTCTGGACCCACGTCTCCTGCTACTCTGTCACCTCTCCTTCCCCACCTGGCTCCCAGCTCCCCGTTCCCGGTCCATCTGACTGGCCCACAAACTCCTCCAGATTAATCCTGGATCTACCTCCCTGCCCCTGTGCCACATTCTAGTTCCAAAATCTCCCATGGCTCCCTGGTGCCGGCCAAGCTAGCCCAGTGTTCCACACCCTCTACCCCTGACCCACACCACCAGCATGCCAGCTGGGTAGAACATCAATGTGGGAGGCAGAAGCAGAGGGCGTCCTGGAGGAGGTGATGGTGAACGCTACGATTGCCTGGCCTGGGCCTGAACACAGAGCCAGTCTCAGACACGTGACCTGATCAGTACTGTGGTGCCCCCTTGGTGGCAGACGAGCAAGACCTTCATTTACCTATTTTGATGATATTGTGGGTGCTGCTCTCTTGTGCTTCGTCTCCCAGGACGTCCTCTTCTTCCTGCGCTAGAATCATGGGGTGTACCTTGTCTCTCGGAGGCCAAACAGGGTTGGGGTCAGAGGCAGCTCGTGGTCTTCTCACAACGTCCAAATCCCCATCCTCGTCCAGCTGAGCTCCCATCCCTTCCTGTCCAGCGGCGTGGACACCGGCCTGGAGGGGGGAACCTGCACCGCCGTGGCCACGCCCAGGAGGGGACCCGGTGCTGCCTGTCCTAGCCGGAGTCTCCTCTCTGGGGACATCTCTATGATCACCTCCCATGGTCCCCGAGTCTGTGTGAGAGTCCTGGTTCCACAAAAGCTTGAACTGGGACAGAAAAACTGAAAGACAAAACACAAAAGGAGACTATTTCTCTCTCCCTTCCTCTCCTTTAGGAAAACTTGATTTCTGACTTCTAGAAAGCGTGGTAAAGGCCAGGGGGAGGCATACGCATGCCAGTGGGAAAGGCCTGTTTGACTCAGCCATGACACTGGGGACCCCACAGCAGCCGCAACCACCACCGAGGACGACAGTTACTTAGTACATTTGATGAGCATCGACAATGGAGGCACTCCGCCCACATTATCTCACTTCATCCTCACAGTGGCTATGAAGACAGCAGTAATGGCTCCGTCTAAGGGACATGGAAACTGAGGCTGAGAAGTTAAGTGAGCCCACAAGGCTACACAGCTTGGAAGGTGGCTGAGGTGGAGGCAAGACTCACACCTGGTCTGCTGGACTCCTCAGCGGATGCCCTTCTCACGACACTCTTCCACTTAAGGTCTGGAGGACAGGACAAGGATACCAAGTGTCCCTCACCATCCGGTGGCCAGGAAGTCATTGGGACAAGTTTCAGTAAGAGGATGTGTGTCAGGAGAGGCGGGCTGGAGGCGGGAGGAGCAAGGACTTGGGTGGACAGTCCTAGGCTGGAGTCCTCCATCTCCCCAGGCTGCCTGACCCTGGGCAAATCACTTATCCATTCTGAGCCTCAGTTTCCGGAATCCAGGAATCCACACTGAGACACGAGGGAAGGGGAAGTTCTTAGTCACACCAGAGTAACAAGCTAATTGCACAGTGATCGGAGCTGGGAAGGGTGGCCAGAGAGGGTCCGTCTGACGCGACATCTGGGGAGCCAGGGTGAAGAGGAAAGAATGTTCTGGGCAGAGTGAACAGCAAAAGCAAACGCACTGAGGAAGGAAGGTGTGTGCAGTGTGTCACGGGCAGAAAGGAGCGGAAAGTGGGCACAGAGCGGTAAGGGAGAGGGAAATAAGTGTGGACACAGAGGCAGGGGCTCGGCGAGCTGGGCCTTGCAGGCTATGCCAAGGAGCTTGATTTTACTCTAGGAGCAAGGGAAAGCCACTGGAGGGCTAAATCAGGGCAGCGATGTGATCTACATTTTCAAGAGATCCCTTGGTGTCTGGGGAGCTGAGTGGGGGAGAGTGCAGGGGAAAAGCCAGGGAGCCCTGGTGGGAGGAGCTAGAGGCAGCCAGCAAGGGAGGAAGAGTGCTGGACTGGGGTAGGGGCAGAGGGGATGGAGGGCCCTGTCTCCCTGTTGGACTCCAGGCAGAGCTCGGCCCATTCACTTCTGCCTGGCACCCAGCAGGTGCTCAGAAGAGCAGTTTCCTCTGGGAAAGAAAGCACTGAACGGTGTGATGATAACAGTTCGTCCAGTCTTCCCAACCTTTCCCCCCAAAACGAGTCTGAGAAAACACACTGGGGTCCACAGGGCGCCAGGCCCCTCCGCACACACCAGGCAGGACCTTACCGGGCTGCCCCATGCTGTTCAGTCGCACCATGAGGTGTCTCTGGTTGGGGGTGTAGAGGTGGACGTCGGAGAGCACAGTGTCACTTTTGAAGGTGACCTCGTCCATGGTGGGGGTGGGAGCCAGCTACCAAGGTCGGTTCTCCACGCTGATTGTCAAAGAGCAGCACCTGCGGTGGACAGCAGGCCCCACAGGGGGCGGCACAGAGTAACTCCCCAGCCAGGTGGTAGCAGCGCGGTATCACCTGGGGGAAGCGCTTTCCTCTTTCCTTTTAAATTTTTCCTAAAGAAACTGGCTGGGAGCGCGCCCCTTTCCCGGGCTCCGCACCGTCCTGGGATGGGGACAGCAGCCTGGTCCCGGGGAGTCCCCGAGCCTGGGCAAGGGCAAAGAATCCGCGCAGAATAGTGCTATTTTGTTTGCACTGTGTTCATTGTCGTGGTAATCTCTTATGTTCGGCATAATGTTTCGTTTCCCTTTTAACTTTTTCCAACTTTATTATGATTTTTAAGCAGACAAGGAAGTTGAGGCTATGGCATGTAAGCACAGACTCACTGCTTAGTGATTCAATGACCATCAACATTTTGTCACGTGCTCGCTCTGTCTACCCGAGGCTTCAGGGCCGAGGTGGGATTTGAACACGGGACTTGGTGCCAGGAGACCCCGCCCCTTCCCTCGCCCCACCACCTCTCCCACAGGCTTACCCGCTCCGGGCCCGGGCCGCAGCCCGGAGTCCCACCCGACCCTCTCGCGGCCGGGCTGAGACGGCCGCCATGGCAGGCGACCTGCGCAGGCGCGGCCCCGCCCCCTCTGCGTGCGTCAGCCCGCCCGGCCCCCTGACCACGCCCACCTGCTCGCGCTGCGCCTGCGCGCTGGGCCGCCGGCCAACACGTGCAGTTCTGGTTCTGGGCTCCAGGGAGGTGCAGTGCTCACCTGCCCGGGTTTTCTGGGGCGCCCGCCTGGGTGGGACCAGTGTGTGTGTGTGTGTGGGGGGGGCGGTGGGGGGCGGTAGATAACTCACCCGAGGTCACCGGCTGCTGAGTTGAGAGGCTTTGATTCCAGCTGGATAATAGGGCTTTAGAGCGTGTGCTGTTAACCAGCACGACAGCTGGTTATTCATTATTACCATCTTTGCTCTTAGCTGCTGGTTATTTCGTTCATTCGTGCACTCGTGAGGTTCCCAATGCCCGGCGAATGAAGAGTCTCAGTCTTAATTAGAGTCTAATAGGAAATGAAATCCGATTCATATGCTGTACTTAAAATGAACTTCCAAACACGTAGGGCCACATGTAAAATGTATTTGTGCGCGCCAAGCACACACGCAGCGCCTCAACCGGCTCCCTTTGTCTTAATTATTTTTAAATGTAATTCTCTCTTCAAGACAAAAGAGGGTAAACATCCATTTCATGGTTACTGTTGATAGAACACGGTGGGGTGGGGAGTGTTTGATAGGGTGACCAAGCAACACAGATGTTTTTTTAAGCAAACAGATTGTGTTTCCTGAACTCCCAGGACAGTACCCGGAGAGCCGGCTGGCCATCTTGAGAGCCTGTTGTAGTCCTGGCTCAGTTGTCCCCAGGACGCTGCCTAGCAGAGCTGGGATGCAGACTCAGGTCTCCGAAGCGCCCCAGTGAGTCTGTCGGATGGAGCTGCAGAGTGAAAGGCCCCTTTAGAACTCTTCCTCGGAGAGTGTCCTCCAAGGCTTGGAGGTGCCAGGGTTATGGTGCTAACTCACTTATGCTGGAGTGGACATGACCATGGCTGCCTTGGCTAATGACATCATGTATGCAACTAAGGGAAGGTGGACAAACAAACTGCCAACTTACAGGGATTTGCTGTCAGGTGATTATTATTAGCTTGGGAATTTAAAACAGCCCCTTTCCCAAATGTCGTGTTTACCAAGCACTAATGTGTTTTCCCAATCAGCCCTAGAAGATGTTGTTCTCTTGGAGAGAACTCCTCCCCTAGGACTGCTGAAAGCAGCAATTATAATCTGTCCCCTGCCTCACACCGCTTCTAACAGCAGCTGCTACAGATTGTTGCCCTGGCTCCTGGTTTTGTGTGGACGGGTATCAAACTGACCTTCAGGTGGTTCAGATCCCCAGCTCGGCCACTGATCAAATTCACTTGTTCAATACATAATCGTGGAGAGCTTTTCATGTGCTAGGCCAGTGATGGCGAGCCTATGACACGTGTGTCAGAGGTGACACGTGAATTCATTTTTTTGGTTGATTTTTCTTTGTTAAATGGCATTTAAATATATAAAATAAATATCAAAAATATAAGTCTTTGTTTTTCTATGGTTGCAAATATCAAAAAATTTCTATATGTGACACGGCACCAGAGTTAAGTTAGGGTTTTTCAAAATGCTGACACGCCGAGCTCAAAAGGTTCGCCATCACTGTGCTAGGCACTCAGGCAAGTTGCCTAAGTTCTCTGAAATGTAATTTTTCAAGTTCTGAAAATAATACCTACTTGGAAGCGTTGTGCAAATGAGCGACACATAACACGTGGAAAGTTCCAGGCACAACTCTCCCCCACTTCTTGAGGTGATCTGACAGTATCTGGTGTATTTTAAAGAACTCACCAATTTCATTAATTTTATCAACTTGTATTGTTAGATTAAAAAGAAAGCAGTTACAGCGTCATAATACTGTATAATATCAGTTACATAAGAGAAAAAACCTCACAAAATACTGCATTTCCTCAGGACATGCATGTTATGTAAATGCACAGAGAAAAGTTTGGAAAGATGTCTTCAAACTAAAATGCTTTCTTCTTGGGAGAAGGCATGGATGGACAGGGGTAGGTCCAAAGAGACTTTGTTTTAATTTTTAAAGTGATGCATCATGTGTTACTTGTATAGTTAAGAATTTATTTAAAAATGAAAGTACAAAGGAGCTTTCACTAGTCAAATATGGGACAATATGAGCATTGACATGAATAGTGACAAGACTATAATACTAAAAATAATCTATGCAAATGGCACCCAAACAAATGGGCCTTTATCTCTTTGGACAGCTCTAAAAAAATATCATAGACTATGTGTGGTTTATAGATGATAGAAATTGATTTCTCACAGTTGGAGTGGCTGGAAGTCCAAGATCGGGGTGGTCAGGTTCTGGGGAGGCCCTCTTGGGTTGACACAAACATTCAGACCGTAGCACACACATGTTTATAAGAACACTAAATAGCAACCCAAGTGTCTATCAACTGAAAAATAGATAAATAAAATGGGGTAATCCATGTAATGGACTATTTTCCAGCTCTAAAGTGGAACAAAGTCCTGATACATGTTACAGGGTGGAACAACCTTGAAAACATGAAGCTAAGTGAAATAAGCCAGACCTAAAAGGCCACATATGGTATGATTCCACTCCTATAAAATATCCAGAACAGATAAATCCATGGAGACAATAAGCAGATGAATGGTTACCAGAGGCTGGGGAAGGAGGAGTGGGGAGTGACTGCTCAATGGGTAGAAGTTGCCTTTGGGTGATGGACATGTCTGGGAACTAGATAGAGGTCACAATGGTGGTTGTACAACATTGTGAAAATATGAAATGCCACTGAATTGTACAATTTACAATAGTGAATCTTATGTGAATATTACTCCAATAGAAAAAGCCATGACTTCATAATGATACTAAAATAAAAATGTTAAAGAAAGGGGTGGGTGAAAAACTGTGATGAGTAACTGTACAAGGATGGATAGAAATAGAAAAACACTCTTTAAGTCACCATGATAATGCGTGATCTGGATGAAAATCTTTGATGGATGTTAACACCGTTGGAAGAAAGACTGTCGTGGGACAGGATATTCACACAGGCACCCAGGGAGCAGTAAGTGTCTGTGTTTTATAGGTCACCCAGCCTGTGGCATGCTGGTATATCAGCCTGAAGGAAGCAAGATAAGATATAACTTACGGACCATAAAACCCATCATTTAAAGTGTACAAATCAGTGGATTTAGTAAATTCACAGGTTGTACAACCATCACCACTATCCAATTCCAGAACATGTTCGTCACCCCAAAAAGAAACCCTGTACCCATTAGCATTTACTCCCCATGGCCCTCTTCCCTGGAAACCACTAATCTACTTTCTGTCTCTATGGATTTGCCTCTTTGGATATTTCATATCAATGGAATCCTACAATATGTACTATTTTTTGTGTGGCTTCTTTCATGAAGCTTAACTTGTTTCCAAGCTTCATCCATGTTGTAGCATGTATCAGTACTTTGTTCCCTTTTAATAGCCAAATAATATTCCATGGTATGGGTAGACCGCAGTTATTTATTCATTCATTAGTGGATGAACATTTGGGTTATTTCTACTTCCTGGCTATCCTATATAATAAAGAGGTAATATGTAAATTAACCCTCACAAGATGGTTGCCTATGACCAGGCCGGCAGGGGGGTTAGTGAGGGATGACCAAATGACTGAACAAGCAGGCTGCATGGGGCAACCAGGCCGGCAAGGGGGGGGGGCGGCGGCAGTTAGGGGAGACCAGGCCGGCGGTGGGGGGGTGCAGTTGGGGGCAACCAGGCCGGCAGGGGAGGTAGTAAGGGGTGACCAGGCTGGCAAGGAGGGGCCAGTTGGGGGCGACCAGGCAGGCAGGCAGGTGAGTGATTAGGAGCCAGCAGTCCAGGATTGTGAGAGGGATGTCTGACTGCCAGTTTGGAGAGGGTGCAGGCTGGGCTGAGGGGACCCCCCCCCCCTGCACAAATTTCATGCACTGGGCCTCTAGTTATGAATAATAGCACTGTGAACATTCATGTAAAGTTTTGGGTGGACATAAGTTTTCATTTCTCTTGGTTACATCCGTAGGAGTGGAATTGCTGGGTCCTATGATAACTATGTTTAACCCTTTGAGGAACTACCAGACTGCTTTCCAAAGTGACTGCACAGTTTGACATTCCCTCTAGCTCAGTATGAAACTTCCAGTTGCCTGAAGTTTAATCTTCTTGGGAAACTCTTGGACCCAGGGTAAGACATACATTCCCTAAGGGGCAAGGGTAATGGAGTGTTTATACACCAAAGCCCACAGCCATTGGGTAGGCTCTAGTTACTTCCCTTTTCTGATTGGCTGTGTGTGAGCAGAGTGACTCCAGAGAAAGCCTGTTGATGCTGCCAGTTGGAAGTCAGGTCCGTATGCGTGGAAGTGGTAGGAGGAGGGGATATGGTGGGGGATCCATGGCACCTGCTACTGTTGTTCTTGTGAATTATTCTAGGATTAACGTGCCGGTCTTCATATCCTCCAAAGGGCTGCAGAGGGCCCACAGCAGTGTTTAACACTTGGGTTGCGGGAAACGCGAGTCGGCTCGCGTGAATTGCGCGTACTCCGCGGGAGCCGTCTTAAACTCGGTTCATATAGATTTGTGGTGGAGTGCGGGAAACGTGTAAACTCGGGCCGATTGTAACTGCGTATTACCAAATATT